TAAAAGAATGAGTGTTGCAGTTCGATAAACAGTCGAACTGTACAGTCATTTTCAGCAATAGTAATGTTCTGGATAATAGTAGTGAAAAAGTGGTGAATAAAAGTATCAGTTTCTGTCAAAAACATTCATATTTATGTGTGTATAGTATATGTATGTTCTGGAATTGAACCACTAAATGATGAGATCAGCCGTGTACTCATTACTATTGAGTTGCTATAGGGTTGTGACTTAAATTCTTAGGTCTGGGACAAAATGCTTGGGCATTCGGCAGAATGAAATGTAACTAAGTGCCAATTGCGTTTAAAAGTTAGTTTTTCCCCAGTTGGCTGGAAACTTTATGAGAAATCAGAACACAATTTCTGGATTAAATTTAATTGTAAGAAGCAGCAGTGCCACTTGCATTGCGTTATGAATTGTATTCTGGCACATTTCAGAATGCACCAATGAATGATATCAAGTTTGCGTAGCCAGAAGCGCTTGCATTGAGTCATAGATTGCTGGACAAATGTAGCGAAAATTCTGGGAAATCAAATGTTACCAGTAAAACAGTCTCCTAGCCTCAGAGAATATACTCCTACAGACTGCACACAGTTCGTTTACTGGCTGTCTGATGCATATTTAGCACAAAACCAAAGAAAACTCGCTCCAATCAGATTGTCTACCAAGCAACTTTCAGGAGTCATGGTGTACAACTTTTGTACACACTTCCTCCTCCACCTTTCACTGACTTCTTTACACACTTTGGGTTCAGTCTTCCCCCAGCTTGACGCTGAACATAATGTTTCCTATTGGACCCAAATAAATTAAACTTGCTTTCATCACGGAAGTGAACTTTGGATCAGTTCTTCTCTCTGCACACAAAATACTCCTAAGTTAGCCTTTTGATTCTTTCTCCTTATGAGAAGTTGACCCTGTTCGGCACTGCACTGGTAAGCAATTCCAGCTGCAGTGTTGAACCGATTGCCCATTGAGATTCTCCTCATTATCCTGTCCTCTCGCACATTTGTCTTTTGTGGATGACCAGCCTTTTGGGGGGACTTAAATGAGTTAGTGACATTGTAAAGATGCAGTATTCTAGAAATCACAGATTTTCTCTTGCTATGGCTGCTATTATTGTCCTTCATCTGGACAACCTGCTGTCGGAGGGTTTCAGTCACTTTAGAACGGCTCTTGCAAAGTCAGTGAAAACTGAAAAGTTAGATTGCCAGTTAAATAGAGTTTGTTAGATAATTAAGGAAATTAGCATGTGGTCCCACTGTAACACCAATAACTGGGAGGTATCTGAAAGTGTTCTCTAATTTTGATCAGTGTTCTTTTTCAAATATCTCATTTAGGTTTTTTATACTGTGCATCAGAATAGATTTAACTTATGAAATATGCCTAAAAAGCTGTGCCTTTACTCATGTGAGGATAACTTCAAATAGGACTAAGCAGTGACCTCAAAGTTTAGGAAATTGTAAGTTGTTCTCTTATTTTGATCTCCGCTGTATTTGATCAAAAATAAAATAAAAACAGTAATATTGTAAAATATTTTTGGAATTTAAATAACTGTTTTGTATTTGAATATAATTTAAAATGTTATTTATTCTGTGATGGCCAAGCTGAATTTTTAGCATCATTACTCCAGTCTTCAGTATCACAGTCTTCATTCCAAAATGTTGATTTGCTGCACAACAAATATTTATTATTATTATTAATGTTGAAAACAGTTGTGCCATGATACATTTTTTATGCTTTGATTAGTATAAAATTATCAATATAATTTTGGTAAAACACGTCTTTACTGTCACTTTTGATTCATTTAGTGCATTCTATTCTAATATATATATTGAACCCAAACTTTTGAACAGTAGTGTGTTTTCCCCTAGAATGCATTATCTGTACACATTTGTACAAAACATGCATTTGTTCATTGCAAATCAAGCATTTAAAAGCACTATCACACTTGCTATTTTTGATATAACAATTTTATTACAAAATTTAGACCTTTTTCATCTTTCAGTGCTGCCATGCTTTTAGCATATAACAATACAGTATAAAATCTCAACCCAAAATGAGCTAATAAAAGCAGTTTTTCTTTAATGCTGTTGCAGCATTTAGATGTCCATGCTGTTTTCTGTACATGTAACATTCCTTGAAAAATACAAACACCTGCCGAACACGCCACAATTAAAACAACTTTGAATTATCAGCCTATTCTCGCAAACCGTTTGAACTGTTACGAGGCGTAATCAATATAACGTATCAGTAGTTACACAAGGAAAGAAAGAGATAAATAGAAGTACACTGCAAATAATGACAAATGTGTCGAGATCTGATCTTTTCAACAGCCCAAGGCACCCAGGCTTGAAATATGTTGGCAATTATCAAGTTATTTTTTACAAACACACACACACACATACACAGACACACCAACAAAAAAAGAACAAACAAAAATGCTTAAGCAGGAGGTGATAAGACAGAAGAAAAGCATGAGAAAAAAAAGAAGAAGAAAAGAACACACTCAGCTTTGCTTGTTTTACATTCTACATCCGAAGTTCACAGTGAGTATCCCAGGCAGTGGGTAGATCTATCTAATAATCCTGATGGGGAATAGTAACTTAAGTGGTTCAGAAATCTACTGCGAGACTACATGGCTTCCTCTTCGAAGGAAGAGGTCAAATGATCCAGGCTGTAAATATGGAAGTCTGAGACATATTGTGTTAAGTAGTTTTCCGGTAAGGCGTTGCTTGCCCAACAGACAACCAGAGAAGAGCGAAACCACTGTGCTTTCAAGCTAAGACCAACATCAGCATATGCCTTCAAGATCCAGAAATACATGACAAAAACGTGATTGTTTTAAGTGTTAAGAGACAAGAAATATTGAAATATCTAGAAAATTCCCGTTGACTTTGATGTCTATGCTTTTTCTTGATTGAAAATGTTCTTTAAGGATGAATGATTTGGTAACAGACACCTGGAAACTCGTATCTCTCATTGGCTGGGAGATTTCTGTGCTCTTTTAGTTCAGTTGGCGACAGGCCTCAAATGTCCATTTCGAAGCTCCTCCGTAGATCTCAATGCTGGTTTCCAACCAAGAGAAGACGTTCCCCACTTGTGCTTTGCTGCTGCATGTGGCCAGGTTATAAATTTCTCCCACGGACAGCTTTCGGTCCCAGATGTTGAAATTCGCCATGTCACCGACAAACGCTTGAGTAGCATCAAACCCTCCGCCGAGAGTATCCTGCAGGTGGATAACATTTATTTGAGATGCTGATAAAATAAACGCTGAATGCCTTCAAAGGCATATGATTGGTCCCTGTTAACCTTTGAAGCTAATCTGCCCATAAATGATTCATATGTGCTTTTCATCCCTACAGGCATCTTTGAAGGTCTCTGCATTTCAAATGGGCCAAAATCTTATCTACTGGTTGTTTTATAGAGCGTTTTAGAATGGACTCTTTTCAGTGATATCTTATAATTGGCTCTGTTAATATTCTATAGTAATTCTATAGAGTTTTAGTACTAAAAAGCAAAATAATAGTGTGCTCCGCATAAAAGACAATGAATAAAATATCAGCTGCAATTAGGGGTGTATGATAATTATTGTCTAAGATAATATCGTAATTGTTGTTTTGATGATGTGCAAGCTGACATTATT